TCTAGCTCGTCCTCCGACCACTTCCCCATCCGATGCTCCCCCATCTGCCTCATGTCCGCTCGATGACCCTGAGTCTGAATCCAATCCCAACCTTTCCTCTGCCCAAGCCTCCAACTCATCGGTGTCCATGCTTGAAGCACCGGATCCCTCAGATGTCCGCTGATTGAGTGATGCCATGCCTGCCGAGGATGGGCTTGTGATAGAACGCGTGCAATCAGTATGGTAGGATCGCCAATCATCTCCGAGGATTTGAGACCAAGCGTCAGAGGACTGCGAGCCCAGAGAGTCGCCGGAGGAATCTGAAGCTGAGGGTGGCAAGGAGAGAGAAGATAGCGATGACAAGCTAGACAGGGTCACACTGGAGTGACGACGGAGGCGACCGGTTGGAAGTAGTGTAGCACGACGGCGTGCAGCAGCCTTTTGGCGAAGCTGCGCTTTGTAACGAGCTAGACGAATGTAAGCCCTGAGAGATTTCTCTGCGAGAGCACGACGGACAGTACGGCGAGGCATCGGGAAGATGGTTAGGAAGGTAGGTAAGGCGCTCATGTGTTTGGAACTAGAATATTACATAATCGAACAGCCTGAAACTTGCTGCGCCCATCGAATGCCTTAACACCTGCGGAATCGTAGTCAGAATCGCGCGCAGAATCACTGTGCATGAAGGGGTAGGTCAAACCTGACTCCGATTCTGGGACGTTTCTCCAGGCCGCTTCTGACCAGAATCGAACCAGAATCGGGGCTGAATCGTAGGCTGAATCGCCCACTCTGACCTCCCCTATTGTCGAAGCAGAAAAGAGATGGACTGGTGCGAGGACAGGAATGAGGGTGCAGACGCATCTCGGAAGGAGGACGCTTGTAGTGCATTGAGCTAGATAACGTATCTGGAGAGTAAAGCCATGCAACAACCCCATGATCTCTGTGTGCGGTGGTGAGTGGTGACGGCACATACGCGACGTCCTTGATCACAAACTGAAAATGCAGGGGAAGATGTAATCGTATAAATCGGAGACTGAAAACTTCGTGTCCGGCTCGTCCGGGCATGAAGCCCAAAGACAAAAAGTCTATGGGACTTCTATGTTCGGATAACGAACTGATATAGCGATAGGACGAAGAACGGAGGACACGGTCGAATACATACTGCAATATAATACACTCCAACCAAAATGGATGAGTCCCAACCACACAAACACCACACATATATCATCTCCTAGAGTCCCGCTTGAAATATGGGCTATTCACGGCCGTGCCTTGAATCATGTCGAATACGGTTTCTCCGAAGCCGAGATATTTCTCGGCGACTGAGCGTATGGTAGGATCGGAGAGCTTCTCCGTTTCAACGCTGCATCGGTCTTCAGCACCACATCCTACAGTAGTGGTCGGATGGTTGTACGTACGTGAATCCGCTCGATCGTCTCACGCCAGCCAACAAGGTACTGACTAGGGCAGCGTCGACTGCGTAGTGTACGAGTCTTCCGATCATGATGAGGGTTGTGGTTGCGGTGTCCTCAGAAGACCGTGATGGCGACGAGTTACGGGGCGTTCGGGACAAGTTCAGTGAAGCTGTTATGTAGGAAGAGACGAGTTGGGAGAGAGACAGCCGAAGAGATTCCGCATGCGTTCGGCAGGGGGCAAGAGCCTGCAGGGAGTTTGCTTCAGGAATACCGTTCGGACTTATCACCGACAGACAAGTCTTATCTGCCGTTACATATCCTCCACAAATTGCTGCGGCGCCGACGGGGTCCGATGATGGCCGCCGTCGTTGCGGGTTTCTCAAGGCTTGTCTTCGATCTCGTCCTCCCTCCTTCTGCCGCCCAGTCAATTCGGAATTCGGAGTTTCGCTCGCTGCAGTGCTGCTTTTTCTTGGGAACTCAGTCCACTCTATCGCTGTCCGAGCAGCGAATGCGACACAAGCAAACGTCATGCGTGCTGAAAATACTCTCATACGTCCTATCCAGGCCATTCGCGAAGTTGATATTGTCCATTGATCCTAGCTCACCGGGGGATCCGTACGCCTCTTGTGGTCGGTGAGCCATGGATCTGCGAACGCAAGGGATATCAGTGCGATCACCTGGCACCACCCTAAGCCACTAGTTATGTAACGTGGAATGCGCGCGATATCCTTGCCTGACATGCGCATGCACATCTTCCGCCTCAAACAGCCTAGACGTCGCTCATCCGTTACTCATATACGCTCCCCCTGTCTCTCTTGTGGTCTCATCGATAACCCGAGTCCCACCAATCCGTCAATCATGGTCCGCGTTTTGGAGGACATGGACTACTCTGGAGAAGTACCCCACTCGGAACACCTCATTGTGCGCGGAACGGAACCATTCAACGCAGAGCCCACTGCCGCCGCTTTGGTGGAGTTCCCCATCACCCCCGAAGACCTTGTTTACTGCCGCAACCACAGTCCGGTCCTCGATATCGACGAGTCTACATGGTCTGTTCAGGTCAATGGCGCTGAGAGGTCCCGCTCATTCACTCTCGAGGAGCTTCAAACCAAGTTCCCTCGAGTCGAGGTAGTGGCGGCACTCCAGGTGAGCACATATCTGCATATGATTCATCTACCAGTACCGAGGTCTTCTCGTAGTGTGCTGGTAACCGGAGGAAGGAGATGGACCAGGTGAAGCCCGTCAAGGGTATCCTCTGGTACGACGGCGTCATCGCCAATGCCCGCTGGGCTGGCGTCCGTGTCCGCGATATCCTCCAAGCCTCGGGTGTAGAGTCGGAGTCCTTGCAAGGGTGGCACGTGTGCTTCACGTCCAACGTCACTCCGTGCCAAGACGATAGGGACTATGGAGGCTCGGTCCCTCTGATGACTGCCATGGATCTTGCAGGCGATGTGCTTCTCGCATACGAGGTGAGTGACCCGCTGTCTACGAGCCCCCGTCCTCGTGGTCTGAGCCGTTGCACTTTCATAGATGAACGGTCAACGCCTGTCTCCCGACCACGGATACCCATTGCGTGTAGTCGCGCCAGGATACCTCGGCGCGCGCTGGGTCAAGTGGGTAGACACTATCACGGTATCTCCGAACGAGTCCCTCAACTTCTACCAACAACGCGACTACAAAGTCCTTCCCGAAGACGTACGCCCCTCAAATCCCCTTCTTTCCTACCATATCTGTACACGCTCATGTTCCGTGCTTCCCCGTGACAGGTCGACACCCCTGAAAAGGCTGGTCCCGTCTGGGCGAAGACGCCCTCGCTCACCACGCTGCCCATCAACTCCGTCGTCGCCTCCGTCACCCGCCGCGGCACAGGCGCTATTCACGTCAAGGGCTACGCCATCGGTAGCGGGGACGTACAGATCGCCACCGTTGAAGTGTCGATCGACGACGGCGCATCGTGGATCCCCGCGAAGATCACGTACCAGGAGGGCAAGTGGAGCTGGACGCTGTGGGAGGCGACGCTGGAGGGCGTGTCGGACGGGGGCGTGGTGTTCAGTCGTGCGGCGGACCGCTTGGGAAGGCGGCAGGAGAGGGAGGGGAGTTGGAATCTCAGGGGCGTGGCGTATAACCCGTGGGGGAGGGGGAAGTGGTAGGTTGTCCTAAGTGGTCTTCTTGGGATGGGTCGAAGTCGTTCTCGTATTCATCATATGGTCTCTTGCTTTGGAATCTTGTTGACATACGTTGCTTCAGATACATGCTTGATATGTTGGCTTGCGGTAGCGGAATGTGTGCATATCACCTTCCACTCCTTTGATGTTTATCTGGAGCGTTCCGATTGCCCTGACAATTCATTATATACCAGATGGATCGTTGTATACGCTCATGAGGGTGCGTACTCCGCTTCCCAGGGAAAATCGGAAACAATTGACTGCAAACAAGTTGTAGACCTTTGCCCACACTTCTGCTTATGTCATCTGGTATCTTGTGGCAGATGTCTACACACGTTGGGTTAGTCCACCTGACGGTACCGAACTCGTAAAAATCCCTGCTTTCATAAAGTTACGGCCTTCGCCCCACCTAACCTCTGCGCGAGGCGTCCACGACGACGGGAGGTTGCCGTTGAATGATGGAGAGTTTGTGCGGTCAGCAGCGCGCCCAAGGTTGTCTGGACACGTTGAACGCCTTTCCGCCACTGGGAACAGGACAACTTCAGGTGCGCGGGCTCTCTTGGCGTTGAATAGAATGAGAGATACTGACGTCCCTATGATAGGATAACGGCGCCTAGCGCTCGAACGGGTGGGCAGCGGTTTCGGCGCATCGCGAGTGCAAGCGTCATCGCCGTTGCCGGTATGGTACAATAAAAAAAGTTGTGATCAGTGATGCATCTTTTTTAGGTGTGCATCACCTCTCGCCCCTCCTGACGCTGCTCCCATTCGTGCCCTTGACGGTGCTTGCAGCATGCGACATGAACGGGCAAGATATCGTATGTACGTCCCTGTCCTCTTTCGCCAGTACTCCTTCTCGCTTGGCATCCCTATTTGGTTGCGGACGTAGTTGGACACTTGCCGGCGTTACATTATGTAGTCAGACTTCATGCGTTTTTGCGTCGTCGCCAGCAACCTTGATAATTGCCTCTCTGGAAACATTCATGGGACTGTCGCATTTACTATGGAGGACTCCGACTGCAAGACGATATCTTTAGGTTCTGCGCGCAAGGTTTTGTGCGCCGGCGCTGCTGCCCTGGAGACCAAGGTGAATTATAAGGCCTTTCCTTTCCCTCCGAGCGATGAGTATTGCCATCCCTATCCAACCATGTATACCCACGCGGTTAACATATATCTCCTCTTGCACACCGTGATATGCACTGTTGTCTCGATCACTATGGCCCAGGCGGCCACTTTCGACATGGCACGGACAGATAATGTACGTCCTTTCGTTCCATGACCCTGAACTGTTCTACTGAAAATTTTTCTGCAGCTAGCAATGTAAGTACCAGAATGCGACATGCCATACTACGATCTGAGACAAGTCGCAGCTACTGGGGACAGGGTGGTCAAGGCGAGCCAGACCTGATCGACGTCTGCAATGTACACCAATCATCGTCTTCCTAGAGAACCGTGCTGTTACTAACAACTAGAGGTTGCAGAAAAAAACATATGACACGGTCATCCTTGCATTCATCACGACCTATGCAGGAAACCCAGGATCTTTGACTTATAATTTTGGTGTACGTGAATCAAACTTCTATTGATGTCCCTAATCACTCACTATATGACCGCAGAATGACTGCAGTCAAGCGGAGATCGATGGATGCGCGAAGCTTGGCGAGGCTATACAGACCTGTCAGAAGAACGGCAAGCTCGTGACTGTCTCCGTAGGCGGCGCCGACAGCAGCATCAGTCTATCGTCCGACGAGGCTGCAGAGAGTTTCGGAGAAACTGTATACAATCTCTTCCTTGGGGGTAAAGACCAAAGCCGTCCTTTCGGCGATGGAGTGATCTTGGATGGGTATGTGTATGCTCCACGGAGTCCGTCACGACAGTTCAGGTCACTGACCGCATTCATTACTTACCAGAGTCGACCTTGATATTGAGGGCGGGAGCACAGAGCATTTCCCTGCGTTCGCGAATCACATGTGGGAATATGCGAAAGAGCAGGGAGACACCAAGAAGTACTACCTGACAGGCGCGCCGCAGTGCCCATTCCCGGACCAGTATATGTCGGCGTAAGTTCTCATTCTTGCTTCCGATAGTCGTCCTAGGCGATTGACCACACCGGTAGTGTTCTGAATCAGGCACACTTTGATGCAGTTTACGTTCAGTTCTGTAAGTGTTCCATCCTCCTTCGGTGGGTGGAAACGGTGCCTGATGCCGAATAACAGACAACAACGAGGAGTGGCCTTGTGGTCTTCTGGTGGACGATCCTCAGTATGGCTGGAAAACCTTCAATTTTGCTACATGGTACGCATTGCGATCAGACCTGATTCAGCCAATTGAGAGGCAAAGTAGGAATACCTGGGCATTGAACACGTCCCTCAACCAGGGCGTCAAGATCTATATAGGCGCTCCTGCATCAGCACAAGCCGGGAAGTACTATGCGGACGCGCATACTTTAGCGAAGGTTATTAAAGTAGCGCAGAAGAACTACTCGTCATACGGTGGAGTCATGATGTGGGATGCGGCGGCAGCCCAAGGTTCGCATTGACATCGTTCAAGGCGTCAGACTGATTTGACTCCTCTCTCTCCAGAGAATGGAAACTTTGACGAGCAAATCAAGCAGTTGTTGGTTGGGAATGGAGGATCGGGACCATCTTCTTCTCCCATCTCCAGCGGCTCCAGAACAGTTACGTCCGCCTCGCATTCTTTCAGTTCTACGGCGACAAATACGGAGACGGCCACGAGCACCGACACGGGCGGTAACTCTGCCGACACGAGCACGACTGATTCAGGTACTGCGACAGACACTAGTCTAACCGCTATCCCCCACCACAAACATAGAACGAGCTCGAGTTTGGCGACCTCACGCGCTGCCTCAGCTTCCGCTTCGTCCACTGCCAGTGCGTGCATGGCGCACAAACGTACACGCTTAGTAGAGGGGCAATAGTATATGCTGTGGCTGAGTGAGGCCTTTGGCACCCGCCTTGGGCGGACTGATTGCTTATTACCTTTACTGTGCCGATTTATGAACTGCATACTGTGATCATGTTCCCGAATGGGACGAGAAGCGATATTGGTGATTGGCCGTACGTCTTCACCCTGAAGTCACTGGTCAGATGAAGTGGGGCATGGTGATGCGCACTCTACCAGCACTCTGCACGAACACCTCACCGCGCATACAGGGTGCGCAGTTCTAGTCAAGCAATCGGTGCTCCTGCTGCACATATGTGACCGGCCCGGGAAGAACTTGTTCTTCGGCGGTTGATCGATGTCGACGTGAGTTTATCTCGGCGTCTCTTGAGCAGCACCTTCTCCCACCACCTTGCTTAATTTCATAGCAGAGCGCTGACTCCGGATGGCAGTCTCCGATCTGCGCCAGACATCTACATGCTTTCTTTGCTATCCTCATGCGTGGCGTGTCTTCGTTCATGGCTGGTCGGGCGCGATGTCCATGATACTCCCAGCCACCGCCAGCGTCGAGAGTCGACAGATCAGACACTCCGAACATGCATACGCCAGTCTACAACCATGAAGATTGCATGCATGAGCTGCGTTTCTACTCGTCTTGTCTGAAATGGGATGCCGATAAACCAGTTCGTATCATGGCACGAGGTTCATCGACGATTAGCGGCAAAATTATCATGTGTTCTGCTTTCTTCACTCTACGCAGCCACGCAACAATGCGAAAGTCTGCGTGTTCATCGTGCGGTACGTTGACTCAGGCATGTCTTTCGAAGCGTTCATTTCTGAGACAGTACCGGGTCCAAAGCGAGCCTGGGTGCAAGTCTTCTCACAGCCGAGGCGTTCTCGTCTGCTGTTCGATCGCACGCATACACGGATCGATGGGCTTGAGTTAGAACGCCGATGTTCATGCCTCATCATATCTTAACCTTCCGCTTTCCATATGGTAATACACGCGACGATACAATGCGCTATCTCCATTTCTGCTCTTACTCGATCGCTCAGTTCTGGAGCGAGGTCAGTTATAAGAGCGTGAGTTGAGACTCCGTCTAAGCGCACCGCTGTGTTCATGTGCTACTCGACATCTGCTGATAAATACTCTCCGCTATCCGCCAGATCCTATCCTTCAGGGCGTCCCTACAGGTCACATATACAGCTCCACTCGCGAACTCTCGCTAGCTCCGACTATAATATGATGCTTTCTTGGCTAACACCCTTACTTTCGGTCTGGTTCCTGATGCTCCATGCCGTGGCTTACGATAATTCGCGAAGCGACAACGTGAGTCCGTTCAGATCGTATTTCGGTGTCTACGTATGTTGATATCTGAACAACCAGGTTGCGGTGTGAGTACAACGACGACGTGTACCACTTTGCATGCTTCTCATGCGCGCGATACAGCTACTGGGGACAGAATTCGTATGGAGCCACCCACAGTGACATTGCGAACTATCAAAAGAATCTCTCTTCGTACTGCCAGGTGAGATATATCGGCTTCAAATGTCCGACTTCTGACCATCTTACTGCTCATCTTATCAGGATGATTCGATCGACGCAATTCCTTTGGCATTTCTCAACGTATTCTTCAGTGATGGTAACTTGCCTTCTATCGACCTCTCGAACGTAAGTGACTTCTCAATGCCTCGGGAGAGCAAATGGCAAGAGTAGGATGTTGATTCCTTGTGTAGATCTGCAGCACTGTCGACTCTCCTATCTTTCCGGACACGAATCTTCCTGACTGCTCATTCATTGCGTCGGATATACAGACCTGCCAGTCCAAAGGCAAAATTGTCACGATCTCACTAGGGGGTGCGACTGGCGGCGCAGGGTTTTCCTCAGCAGATCAGGCCACCTCGTTTGGCGATACCATCTGGAACCTATTCCTTGGTGGGACGAGCGATACCCGTCCTTTCGGCAGCGCTGTTCTCGACGGGTATGTCTTCCCCCATCGCGTGTGGAAAATGTACAATGCTGACGAGGCACCGCTAGTATTGACTTGGACATCGAAGGTGGCTCCACTCAGTACTTCGACTCGTTCGTGAACCGCATCCGCACCCTTGCACAAGGCTCGAGCAAGCAGTATTATGTCACCGCTGCTCCTCAGTGCCCATTCCCGGATGCCTACCTTTCCACGTACGTTGTCTGGCTCCGCTTGTCCCATACTCCGCAGCTAACGTCGAGCATCCCACAGGGTTTTGAACGCCGTCGCATTCGACGCTGTCTACGTGCAGTTCTACAATAACTTCTGCGGACTGACGAACTATAACAACCCTAACGCATGGGACTTCGACCAGTGGGACACCTGGGCAAAGACAGTCGCGATCAACAAAGACGTCAGGGTTTACATCGGTGCTCCCGCTTCCCCTTCTGCTGCCGGCTCTGGATATATCGACGCAGCTACCCTGGGCAAGATTGCCGTTGCGACGCGCAGCAACTATTCCTCGTTCGGCGGTATCATGCTCTGGGACGCTTCGCAAGCATTTGGTACGCGTTGTGTGCAGTTTTCTTCCGTGCTCAATCAACTCAGTGACCTACCTGTAACAGCGAACGATCGCTTCGACCAAGCTATCAAGAACGCGGTTCGTCAGGGTGGCAGCGGCGGTGGCGGCGCGACCTCTAGCCCCGTCACCGTCTCTGTTCCTTCCACCACTATGAGGTCTATATCAAGCCCAGTCTCTAGCACGACGGTAGACTCTGCGACGACTACACTCTCGACGACGAGCGCCATCTCCTCTACCCAAGTCTCCCTCACGACGCCTGTCTCCTCCGCGACGTCAGTTTCTGCTACGACTGCACCTTCAATCACGATCCCGGTCTCCATCACATCTACGCCCATCAGTACGCCATATACCACATCCTTCGCGTCAAGCACTACTGTAAGCGCAAGCTCATGCGCAAACGCCGCCTCCTGGATCGCCCAGACCGCCGTGAGTCCCCCCAAGTGTCCATAGACGTCCAGCTTCGGCTAATCTTTGAACATCTCATAGTATACTGGGGGCCAGCAGGTCAACTACAACGGCCACCTCTGGACCGCCAAGTACTGGACGTACAGCGATACTCCCGGGGGCGCTGCCGGCTCCTGGACCGACGAGGGCGCGTGCCCGTCATTCAGCACGGCTCTCCCGGATCAGACCAGCGCCTTTCAAATTCGCCGGTAGCTTCGCGGCTGCGCGCCCAAGTGAGCACGAGAAACACATGCTGCAGTGGCTTTACATCTTGTGAGAAAGGATCGTGAGAAAGGATCGAAACGATGGTAGGAAGGCGGGCAGACGGTATTTATCAACCTATCTATTTGCGTCTAGCTTGAGGTGTCGTACTCGCCCCTGGTGGGGATATAGGTCTCATGAGAGCTGTACTTCTCTGGTATATGGTTTCACGAATAGATCTAGGATTTAGTACTCGGGGTCAACTTGCGTAGTACGGGAATTGCCTCCATCGACGTCCTGGCGGCGGACCGATTCCCCCAGAGATGCAACGGTAGTTCGACTGCGGAATAGCGGGATTTTTGAAAGGCTCTAATCTGACACCGCTCCAATGATGCCTACGAGTCGCATGGTCAGCATGCAGGACCACTCATGACCCGAAACACGCGATACCCATATGGCCACTGCCCCAACGTGAAACGGAGATGGGAAGAAGGGTCCGACTTGTCGTCGAAGGTCCGCGTCGCTGATCATCGAATAACGCTCCGAACAGGGACATCGTGCCCAGGACTCAAGCTCAAGGAGGATAACAAGCGTTGTAGCGCGAAGAAGTCAAGAACGTGTTCTGCGTTGGGGTGCCATGCGTTGTTGGCCTTCACCCCTAATTTCACGAGAAGGCAGTTATCTTTATATAAAACGGGGAAGGGATCCGTATTGCATGATTAGGAGAAGGCATCCGGTATGCTAGATATATATGCGAAGTCATGAAAGGCCGTGAGGATGATTGCAGGTGTGAAGGTACGCGGGACGTTGAAGAATGAGGGTTCTACGGATATGGACGCTGGTCAGGACAGGTAGCGGGACTGTGCGATAGGTGGTAGGCAGTGGTGGTACATGACAGTCTGAGTCGGAGCGAAGATACCGGGGGACAGAATGCGGAGCGGGATTCGCGAGTAAATGCATGCGAGATGGAAAGCAAGACTGCGAGGAACCGTAGATGAGCTAAAGATATATGGGAATATGGGATGCGAGAAGGGATCGTTATATGTACAACCTTCATTGATTGGTCCTTTCGGAAGAGATCACAGGTAGTATTTTGGGCTCCAGGGAGTGATGGGAGGGGATGCAGGGCATCCGCAAGCATGCCAGGCGCACAGGCAGCGGAGAGGAAACAGCAAACGGATCGACAACTGATACGTAGCACGTTCGCCTTTCATTCGTTAGGGTTGATTACCGGTGTGGGGAAGAAGGGCGCGGACGGATGACGGGCGATAGAGAGCAGGCCATCATGCCGCACGACCATGGCGAACGCACGATGCACGCAGACGTCCACAGCCCTACGGAGATGACAGAACTCAGTTCCAGGAGCCCCTCATGATCAAGCAGATTCAAAACTCACCTCCACCTCCAGTCAGATCCACGCTTCTCCGCAGGCCAGGAGCACGTTTCCGCGGGGCACATGCAGGGCAGAGGATCGGTTACAGGATGTCGACCACGCTCTCCAGCAGCACCTTCGGCTTGAGGAGCAGGTTCCGCACCATCCTGTTCGCATCCACCGTCTGCCCGTTGCTGCTCAGGCTCACGTTCCCGCTCCCCACTCCGTCTAGCCCAACCCCACCCATCGACACCGGTCTCGACAGGCTGGACATCGCCGAGATCCTCGACGTAGGCCGCGACCCAGATCCGGTCCCCCCGTTCGAAACGACCATTCCGTCGCCATCAATGCTCTCCTCCTTCTCTTCTTCAGGGAGGCGGCGGGAGAACGCGAGCCCGAGCTCGACAGTGCACAGGACGCGACAGCGCTCGTTGCAGTGACCCGCATAGACGTTCTCCATCGTCTTCCAGTCGAACATCTGGTCCCCGTTCTCGTCCCTCTCTCCGCTTTGGGTCCTCTCTTCGTCGTAGTCGTCATCATCCACACCCTTCCTCGCGCGCTCGACCTCCTTCACCCACTCCCTTTCCTTCCCCTTCCCCCTGTTCGCCCCAATCTCCTCGATGTTGATGTCCAGCGGATTCTGCACCTTCGCGCCCTCCGCGGGGACCGAACTCGCGCGTCTTGTCGAGCTCGACCGCTTGGCCTTCGACGTGCTGCCCCCACGACACGGCCGGCACCACACGACCTCGAACATCCCGCTCAGCACGCCCTCCTTCACGACGCTCGATATCCGTTCTGCCCTCGCACTGATCCTCGACAGCGCGGAGCCGTAGCGCGCACGGAGCGGGTCCCGGTGCAGGCCCCGCGCGTCCGTGCACCCAGCGAGCGCGAGGATCGCGAGCACCCCGCGGAGGTTCGCCTCCGTGAGCGAAAGCAGGGGAGGGGGTAGGGACGATGCGGACGCGATCGTCGAAGGGGCGGAATTGAAGGGCGAGGGCGTGACCGTGTCGGGGGAGGAAGGCTCGGAGGCATCCGTCGGGCGGGTGAGGAGCGAGCGCGCGTGCTTGTAGGTGAGGGCGCGCCAGCGCGAGGTTGTCGGCTGGGGTTCTGCCGCCGCGAACATGAACATGAGTGTATGCGCGCATACAACCACGGACACAACAGCGAGGACTCACCTTCGCGCTGCATACGATCGAATATCCTTCGCAGCGACTCGTCTACGTCCTTCGGCAGGCCATAGCAGAACGCGTCCATCACCCGCGTCACGCACCACACCTCCCACGCCTGCAGCGCGAACTGCACCAGCGTCGGGTCCTGCGCATGTTCCCTCTCCTCCAGCAGCTTGGTCATCTCCCTCCCCAGCGCAGGCCTTACGATCTCCCTATCGCGCTCCTTTGCGACGATGGGCACCCGCGTATCCACCCGCAGATTGGTCGCGAACTCCTCCGCTACGGACGCTGACAGCTGGATGATTTCCGAGTTGAGGTCCGCGAGAGCTTGGAGCAGCTGCGCGCCCGACCAGTCGTCAGTCTTGGAGAGGAAGCCTTTGAGCGAGGCAAGCTCTTCCGCTTGAGAGAGGATCGTTTGGCGTGCATCTGAGTAAGTCGCGCGCAAGGAAGTATACAGCAGGCGGAGCCGCTTCGGGTCTGCAAGAGCGGCCTCGGCGGAATGTTGCAAAACGGAAGGATAGGTCGAGGATGTAGGCGACGTGGAGGGGATAGGTGAGGGAGAGAGAGCTAGTGCTTGCGCCGGAAGGATAGGGTGGACGAGCCCAAGCGCGTCAGGTGGTGAGGCGGGGTAGGATGCGGTCAGCGATTGGGGTGTGAGGGTGTTGGGGGAGGGGAAGACGGCGGTGGACAGCTTCGAGAGCTCTTCGCGCGTCGAGCGTAGCTGCTCGAGGAGGCTCTCGTTCTCGTGCTCGAGGGCCTGAACGCGCTGACGGAGCTGCTCGCGCTCCTTCTCCCGCTCGGACGATGCGCGGCCCTCCTTTTGCCTTGTCCTGTCTCTCGTCCTCTCGCGTTCCCGACTATGCCTCCTCTCCTCTTTCTCCCTTTCCCTCCGCCGGTCCCGTTCACGGTCGCGGTCTCGTTCGCGATCTCGGTCTCGTTCTCTATCCTTGTCCTGGTCCTTGCCAGATAGTCGGCGTGACGAATGCGAGGAATGGTGGTGACTTGGCCGCCTGTATGAAGAATCGGAGGGGCCGTCCGCAAGGTCGTCGACGATGCGCACCGGCGGGAGGAGCCAGTCGACAAAGTCCCAAAACGTGTTCATGACGCTCTGACGGCGTGAAGGGCGTGAGTGTCCGTGGCCTTCTCGTGGGCGTGCGCTAGACCGGGAATGCGGATGAAGGTAAGGTTGGAGATGCAGTCCTGGCTGCGAATTCAGCGAGGCACGATGCATGCGCTATCGCCCTTGCTATGAGATGGGGAATGCTGCGGTAGAATGGGTGGGGCAGCGCATATGGATGCGAGCGGTGGAGGGGACAAGTGGAATTGCCGAGGCGTCGAAATTCGGAAAGCTGGTCGTTGTCGTCAGTGCCAGTGGCTGTGATCAGACTCTTGTTGCTTATCGCCCGGTCGGGTACACCGTCGCTGGTTGGGGTGTGGGCGAGAAGTGCGAGACAACGGCTGGCGTGGCCAACAGCCTCGTGCGCACGGCGTGGAGCTTCTCTATCGGGCCTCATCGGCGTCTACTTGCAAAGCGAAAGAAGCGCTCAGGAATGAGGAAGTGCTTTTGCTTCTGAATAGGAGGCATGGTGATTCTCGAATGTGAAAGAGCGGGAAACAAGCGAGTAACTCGGGCACGTTTGGCTTGAGAAGAGGGATCTCGTTGCGGTGTACAGCCTGTACAGTAAATAGCGCTTATATACCGAAACTGTAATGTCCTTCCTCTAGAATAGCTCGACTTCAGAGCCTACTGTTATAAGATATGCGTATAGAATTAGGGCTAGAACGTGCAGACACCAATCGGTGAGAGGTGCTGGGACCTAAGGCAGGACCAACCGAAGGTGGCATAACCAGTATGATTTGAAGCCGCACTTCGGCTACGCCATCATCAGCCAATATCAATACTCAAGATCGAGATGTGAGTGCTCACAATGAATCGCATTCCAGAATGGTCGCCACGATGTCCGAGTCCGCTATCCTGCCAACCCCCAGTGTTGTGTGGGACGAGAGGAGCTAGGCCACAGTGGAAACGAATTGCGGTGATGTCCCGACTACATGAGCGGGCCAGGGACGCTAAACGTCAACCCTAGGCCTGCCGCCATGGGATCAGGTGAACGCGTTTCTCAAAAACGTATGCAATTCCGTTCTGAGGTTTTCTCAGCACGACACTAGCTCAGATTATACAGAATCGTATGAGCTACAACGTTTTCGACAAGGTTCAAGAAGATAAAGCAGTTACTTCTACTTGCGAGAAGAGACAGCACGAGTAAGCAGCGAGAACATCTGGAAGTGTTCGTACCTATGTATAGCCATGGGATTTGCCTACAGGATTATCGTCATGGCCCACAAGCAGAGCCAGATTGAGGTCAAGCGAAAGCCTAGTCGGGGTACGGGAGCCGGAAGGAAGACGTCCATTGTCGAATCCTACAACTCGACCAGCGGCGACTGAGGGATACGCAACAAGAGTCTGATTAGATTCGACAGTCTTTGCTTTACAGCCACTCGCATGCGGCACTGACGAGGACGACCAGCTTTCCGAACGCGTTTGGTATAAGACAAGAATCTAATAATAATAATAATAAAAAGACCAGCTTTCCGAATTTGGACGCATCGGCAATCCCGCGATTGGTCCCCTCCGCCACCGTCCGCAATCCATATGCCCTTCCCTACCCATCCTACCGCAGCATTTCCCATCTCACGGCCAGAGAGATAGCGCATGCGTTGCGCCCTGCGGCATGCGCAGCCAAGCTCCAGCCTTACTTCTACCCGCATTCCCGCTCGAGCACACGCCCAAATGGACACTCACCCCCGTCACGCCATCAGAGCGTCATGAAAACCTTTTGGGACCTCTTCGACTGACTGGCATCTGCCGCCGGTGCGCATCATCGACGACCTTGCGGACGATCCCTGCGAGTCTTCGTACATGGGCCCAAGGGAGTACCATGGCTCGCGTTCGTCGCGCCGGCTACCTAGCAAGGACCACGGAAAGGACAGCGAACGAGAGCGTGAGCGGGACAGGGAGGAGAAGGGGAAGCAGGAGAGGGGCCATCGTCGTGAACGGGAGAGGACGAGAGACGGAATGAGGGGAAACGAGGACCGCGTATCGTCCGAGCGGAACAGGCAGCAACTCCATCAGCGCGTTCACACTCTCAGGCGCGAGGCCAAGGGCCCTCTCCCCCCGTCGCTCACATCTCCGACGATCCGTCCGTTCTACAACATTCCACCAAGCTCGCTCTCGCAGACCCGATACGGCTTCGCCTGTTCTACCGTCCTTGCGCGCGACCTACTCAGATGCCCGCCAATCGATCCTTGCGCATAGGCTTCCCCTCCATGACTGACGATTGATTGGTGGGGTGCGTTGCTACTCCATGCGCTCGCGGACCTCAACCAGGAGATCGACCAGCGTGTGCCCGTCGTCGCGCAGAAGCGCGATGGCGCCTGCGCTGGGGAAGGAGAAAATCGAGCTTCTGGACGGGAGGGACCACGCGCAGGACCCGATGCTGGTCCTGTTCGCACTGCACGCATGAGTCGTATAGGGTCTGACACAGGTGACCGGACGCGTTTTGCTGTTCGCTCCCGACGTGTGATGTACGCGCGAGAGGCGTCGGTCTCTGGTGCATCCCTGGCTCATTTAGCGGCTTCTCCCGCAGCCCGCATCCTGTCGCTCATCGTCAATCGATCGCAGGGCAAAAGGGACGCAGAGGTCGGACGCGAATATTGATTGCGATGCTGTCCGCCCTCTCATCGCGTCGAGTATTCCACGCACACACTCACTCTCGTTCACTCCCTCATGCACATCCGCGCCTGCAGGCCGTCCGTCAGGACTTCACATGGCATCTCTTGGCACATGCACATGCACCATGACCCGCAGCGCTGCCTGCCGCACTTCACTCTGCTGCATGAGCGTCATGCGCAACAACGACCCCCAAACTCGTCTTCTTCCCTCCACTTTCGCGGCCTTACTCCCACTTAGCAGGCTTGAGAGAGGCTCCAGACGCGGGTTCCGAGCAGACAACAACAATTCTACCGCCGCTCGAGACGCCCCGGGCTGGAATGAGTATCCCGCCAATACTCGAGGCCTCATGAAGGTACGTCATTATTTTCTTCCTCCTCTCCTCGCGCACATCCACTGACCTCGCGGCCTCGGTCGACCGGCACTCAAGTGACCCGTGCGAGCTTCATTCTGTCACCTGATCGAAGAGTCGGCACAACGACAAGCCCAATACTCTGACGTACAAGGAGCGTGTGTTGAAAAAGGCGGGGGTGTGTTGTTACAGAAGATCAAACACCAACGGGGCGACAGAGAGTCCGTATCCCCGCGATGAATTTGACCGGCCGGTGAGAAGGCGCACAAAATTCTTGATGAGAGCAGGCCGTCGAGAACGGGATCACCTGGCCCGTCGTCTGCGCCGTCGTTTGTACTTGCGGGCGCGGTGTCTCCGGTGGGGCGGTTACCGTCGAGACCGCCCGCCAAAGAAACAATGTTATAGCAGGTTTGTTGTATGAGTCGCTTTCACGTATCTGCTAGCGGAACCATTTTCAATATCAAAGGAAAAAGCGAAAATCATGTCATGACTGCTGGTTGAGTAGGGACGCCAATGTTGTCGGTATGCAACGACCTTGCATGGGCGCCGCCCGGCGTCGTTACTTAACTTGAAACCGTGTCGCCCTTCCACGTTGCTTCATCGTGCCACGTATGACTACTATCCAGCTGAGTACATGACGAGACACATCGCAACAAAGACATGGCATAGCTTCAGACTCGAGGAAAAGACGACGGGCAAACATGCACTTGTCCTGGTGAGTGACTGAGCCAGTAGAACTAAGTAGAAAGCCGAGCCTTGTAACATCTCGCCCACTCGGTTCCAGAGAAAGCATCCGAGAAATCTATGGTGAGTGACTCGCGCCCCATGACCTTGACCATCCCTCGCCACAGTAGAGAATCACGATACTCGTCTGGCACCCACATCACATGGTTACCGTTATTGTCCGTGAGCCAACCATCCCACTCCTTGTACTCTGGAGGAGCTGTGAGTGCAGGCGGGTCTTCGGCTGTGCTTGTCGTCATAGCTTTGAAGTTGATGAAGGAGGGATGAGCTCCCGGAGGGTCTTGAAACGTATGTTTATGGTTAGCTCAGACGCGAGAAAGGAGATGCCACTTGCCTGTGAAAGCATTTGCGTTCCAAACAACGATTCGGGTGGACCCGTTCGAACTTGATATGATATGGCGACCGTCCGGGGAGAGCGCAAGGGAATCAACATTTCCGAACCAATTGGACAGATTCTCCCCAACAGGCTCTCGTGTCTGTACATCCCACATCCGGATCGTCCCGTCCTCGCCCCCGGACACAATCCGTCGGCAGTCCGGAGAATACATCGCATTGTACACGTTGCCCGTGTGGCCACGTAAAGGCTCGCCAGCTTCTTCCCATTTCTCTGTATCCCATAATCTGATTTTGCCGTCGTGGCCGGATGACAGTACACACCGGCTGTCCATAGACCACGAGACGGACAAGACCCAGCCTTCGTGGCCCTTGAATGGCTCGCCAACAGCGTGCCCCGTCTCAGCGTCCCACACCCGCACTGTCCCATAGCCCCAGCCCGATGCAATATGCTTGCAATCCGGCGACCACGCGACGGATCTGACCCAATATCCATGCCCGACCAAAGGCCCGAGGAGACAGTCGTATGTCTCGGCATCCCAAACGCGAATAGTGCCATCGTCCGAACACGAGACAATGCGGCGACCATCTGGAGAGTAATCAGCGTCCCGTACCCAGTTCGTATGGCCACGTAGAGGCTCTCCGAGGGGTTGGAGCGTAGTCGAGTCCCATACACGCAGGGTCTCATCCCACGATGCGGAAACAAAGCGACCGCCATCCGGAGAGAACCTGACGCGAGTTATGTCTTCGGAATGGCCCTTCAGATGCCTGCCGATAGATTTTCCAGTGTCCGCATCCCACACGTTGATCGTGCCATCTTCAGAGCCCGATATAATCCGGCGTCCGTCAGGCGAGTACGCGAGCGAGGTCACGAAGCTCGCGGGGGCAGCATGTGATGAACCGGAGGAGACATCGCCAGGACATTCTACGCTTGTGCTCTCCTCTGTAGACCATATCCGTATCGTCGCATCTTCCGAGCCGGATACGACATGGCGACCGTCAGGTGAAAAGCTACCAGCGCGTACCCGGTTGCTGTGCCCAACAAATGGCCCCCCGACAATCTTGTCCGTCTCCGTATCCCATATGAGGACGCTACCATTCTCAGATCCAGAGACGACGCGCCTGCCGTCGGGAGAGAGCGAGAGAGACGATACAGCATTCAGGAGGCGGTGGGATATTGTCTTCAACGTCTGTTGGGTCTCAAAGTCCCAGATCCTGATCGTCTTGTCCTCCGATCCTGAGACAATGCAAAGGCCATCTAGCGAGAAAAGGACGGAAGAGATAGTCGACGTATGGCCTTCGTAGGGCTTCCCGACAGTGTGTCCCTCTCCGGCGTCCCAAACCCGCACCGTCTTATCGTCAGAACCCGACGCGATGTACCGACCAGTCGTAGAGACGGCAACGCAGTTGACGTCGGATGAATGGACAAGGATAGGATCATTAACCATCCTGTGTGTCTCCGTGGACCAGATGCAAATACGACCGCGACTATCGCCAGATACAATGCGACGTCCATCTGGAGAGTATGCGATACACCGCACTGCGCCCTCATCATCCCGTAGAGGCTCACAAACAGCCACTCCTGTTGTCGAATCCCATATCCGCACCGTCCAATCATTGAGCACTGCGGCGATGTGACGGCCATCCGGCGAGAAAGCAACCCCCAGAACCCAGTCGCCGCAAGAGAGCGCATAGGTCGCTTCGCCCGTCTCCGCATCCCATACTCGCAGCGTCTTATCATCCGATCCTGACACAATGTGCCGACCGTCAGGGGAGTATGCCACGGAACGGACCCAGTCTGTGTGCCTTGAGAGGATGGCATGAGCCTGCGGCCAACGGTCACGAACGCGACCGACGAGCGGAAGACAGGGGAAAGATGGGAGATAATTCATCTGGACCTCTGACGACGTCGGAGAGAAAGGCAGAGCTGAGATGTAGACGTGAGGAGCGGCCTGGGCTATCACACCGGCAAACCGGCGAATGAAGGAAATCGCATCGCGCAACAGCTCCTTCGATGGCCCACTCCCAGAGTCCTATGATATCGGTGATTCAGATCAAGACAGAAATGAGTCGAGTGCAGCGACCATGCTCACATCATACCACTTGAGCGCTGCTTCCAATGAAGGTGCGGCGCGATTGACGCACTTGAGGAGGCTGAGCAATTCGAACCAAAACAGAAGCCTCTCTCGCAAAAACATGCTGAGTTCTTGTTGCAGGTCCGATGGATGAGTGCTGGCGAGGTGATCCTTCCAGTTGCATGCCGCATACAACAGGCTTTGGGGAACGTAGGTGGAAAGGCGGGAGTCCAGATCAGGAATGTCACGGTTCAGGATGTAGGACGTCTCCAAGCGGCAGATGTTGAAGGCCAATCGATAGTTCATGATGCGGAGGCAACCGAGCGCCATGATGGAATGCCCCCGTGCCAGGTCGACAAACCACTCCCCGCTTCGAGCCGCGTCAGTCAAGAAGTCACGAAACGATGTGTGAAGCGGACGGATGGGAGATGTCCGGGCGGATACACCAGAGAGAAGTGGTCCCATGTCCGCCACTATGAGAGTAACCTTGCTCTCCTGAACGCCAGTTGCAATGCGACGTAGTTCATCTGTCAATTGGGTGGAAATGGGGAAAGGGGTGCAAAGGATCTGGGCCATAACAGAACGAAAGCGATCCATGAGTTCCGCGTCTTCGGACTTGAACAGGTTCCCTAACACTTGTTTGTAGAGGGGATCGAGGGGGTACTCTTTACCTTGCGCAGCGCGCGGACGACGACGGAACCGCTCCTTCAGGGTGCGACCGGCCGGCTTGTGATTGATAGCTCTGCATACCGTTGCCGCCCACTGGAACAGGCCCTCCGACTCGTTAGCCAGTTCTTGGAAGTCTCTGTCGTCCAGCGTTCCGTCGATATGGGGCTCATCAGAAGTAAGTTGGTGACGGATGTAGTACTCGATGTCCAACCTCGCCTCTCCATTCTTCTCGTCGAGGTCCATTGAGCGCAAATGGTCGCTGTGAGCGCAGCGCATAGCGACCCTGACATCGCGCTCAGGACGGGAAGTGACGAGGATGCGCAGATTAGGAGGAAGGCTGCCAGAGCTCCCCGTGACCAGCTTCAGCAGCAGATCGCGGGAGGAGCTACATTCATCGAACGCGTCGATGACGACGAGTACCGGGCCAGCTGGCGGAAACCTCTTGAGTGGGGTGAGAATCAGCGAGTTCCAATGGGAAGCTATGTTCATCGACCGTTTGAGCTCTGGTTGTTGCTCTCTGAGCACTTCAGCGAGTGCACATCGAAAGTCGGCATTTTGCTCGGCCAGATCATGCGCGATCGTGCTGAACATGAGATTTGGATGACGATCGTGAAAGGAACGATCGAAGCAGAAGAAGCCAAGACGATGAAAAGGACTGAAGATGTTGCCGATAGAATGGGCGATGGAGGACTTGCCAGTCCCGGCGCCCCCAAGGAGGAAGCATACCGCAGGAGCCTGAGGGTCGTTGATCCAATCTATGAGCTCGTTCAGCGTCTGCTGACGCGTGCCTTCAAGGCAAGCTTTCTCTGCGTCAAGCCCTGCACCGGGGACATCAGCCAGAGCAGACAATTCGACAGTCACACCTTGGACTGCGAGTCAGGACGTGGATTGTGGGGCAATATAATGGGCAGCTCACGGATATCTTCGAGAATTGCTAGCTTGATCTCGATCTCGAGCACTCCATGTTCGGTGAAGCAACGGCGAAGGTCCTTGAAGGCCTCGGTGAACTCGGCGATTTTGCTGTCTATCTGCGGACCAAAAACCGCGTTTTTGCCCGCTCGGACCCCTAGCGCAAAAGTTCATAAGAGCGAATCTGCAGTCAAAGTTTACCAAGTATCATCCTTACAGAAGTTCTCGACTTGAGCCTTATCCCAGATGAAGTAGGCGCACTCCACTGTCTGCATCGACATGTTCTTGAGCAGCTTCAAGCGCTTTTTGTCCAACTCGGGGAGGCGACCGGCTTCTACTACGAAGTCGTAGAGGTCATACATTGAGACGAAAAGATCGGCCATAGCTTTATCACGCTTGTCTTGTGCGATCACAGGCTGATAGCACAGATAAGACGAGGCGACCACGGTAGAACGACACGTTGAAGGGGCGTACCTTGACGACTGAGAGTAGGACGGTGGACGCTACCTTGGCGTACGGATGTATCTGAACAATTCCTTCAGTACCGCCACGGTTCGCTCTATAGACGATACAATTGACGCACACCACCTATTTTCTCCACCAATGACGCAAAGACCTGGACCTTCTCCAGCAGGGGTTCCCACAGCTCGTACGAACTCTTCACGTGTTTCGCGGTCGGATCGATTGACTGGAGCGCTTTGGCCACATGTTTCCCGAGAGTCTTGAGCGACGAGAGCGCTCTTCCAGCTTGGTCGAGATCCACTTTATCGATCCCGCCGAGGGTGGTGCCTGTCGTCGGGATTGTATCATGCTGTTGGATGTATGAGGCATTCAGTCGGCGAAAGAGAAACAGCAGTAATGATGAAAGTTGGTTGCGTACCTCTCCTGAAACACGCTGAACAACGGGCTGCTCATCGGGCTCCGGCTGGAGACTTGCACGTCCTACATTGCTCGGTGTGCTTCCAGATCCGCTCGATGATGGTCTGAAGAGTTTCTTCAAAGCACGAGATGCCTTGTCCTTGGATTTGCGCATGACGATGTACGTTGATTGCCTCGAGATGTCACAGGATGTGGGGGGACCAACAGTGCCGCCTTGGTGTACCCGAGGACAGCGTGCCTGCCGCGTGCACGCATTGTGGACACGTTCGCACGGTCGACATCTAGAACTTAGAACACTCGGCTTCAGTAAGGTCTCAGCGTTAGGAGCGGCGACCTCCGGTTAATTGTGCACGGATTAAATACCCTTTGGGGGAATGTAGCATCCTGTATATCCTAACACTGAGAAGGGTGGCATATTAGGACGTGAGTGGTTTCCTGAGGTATTGCGAGGGACGCAGCTATATACTTATGTTGTTTGGGACAGCCGGATGGGAGCTAAACTCAACTGGAGGCGAGTTCAGTCCAGGGGAGGACCACAATGCTTTAGAATACTATTTCAAGTTAAGCAAATATCATTGGGTACACGGTACTCCGTTACAAGCATACCGCTCATGATGATGCACGGCGGAGCTAGAGGGACAAACTCCTGTCAGGTGGGAATGAATAAAACACGATGCGCGTGAGCAGCAAGGATCTTCTGACCTCCGAGTTCATCGCGAAGTCGTTAGTTTTCCACCATCACTGACTATTGTCGTTACGAAACGGAAGCCCAGTCCTGGCATGGGGGTTGGGACGAAGGAGGAGAAATAGACGCCTACATTGAACACAGCGCGTCAAACACAAACTCCTGCCGGCCATTGTCACCGCCCTTGTCGCCCACGGCGACTACGTCTCCGACTGCGAGCGACAAGCAAGTCAAGTCACACTCAAATCAACTTGACAGCCTTTGCTTACAACCACTGGCATCCACAACAACAACCAGGTCCCCGAATCTCGACGCCTCAGCAGATGCTCTTGAGACTGCTCTGGTGCCACTGGTGCCCTTCGCCACCGCTCACATCTACATGCGCTTCCCCATACATGCTGCTGCAGCACTTCTCATCTCATAGCAAGAGCAATGGCGTGTGCATCGCGCCTCCCTGAATCCGCAGCCAGGACTGCATCTCTAACGTCACCTCTCTCTGCATTCCCGCTCGAGCGCACACCCACGAGAAGGCCAAGGACACCCGCGTCCGTCGCGTCGTCAGAATTCCATGAATATACTCTGGTGCTTGGGCGACTCGCTTAAGACGGCCATTCAGAATCTTTGTACTGGCGGTGAGCTTATCATCCCTCGCGTTCTGGCATCGGCTGTCTGGCAAACACCGCAGCGTGAATGTAAACGGGAACGTGGACACGTCCGCAACCGCAACCGCGATAGGTGGAGAGGAAGGGGAGGGTACGCGTAAGAGACAGGAGATGGGAGACGGACGGCCGCGTTTGGTGGGAGCAGGACAAGGAGCGCGAGCAGCGCCAGTCACGCGTCCGCACCTTCGTCACGAGAACGAGAACGTCCTTGAGCCTGAGCAGCTACATGGGCAGACTCAGGAGCCGTCAAAGCTAATTTTATATGGTTTCTCAGCCCTAACGAGAAGTGAGGATATCTTACAAAGCACGGAAGACCGGAGACTGCGCGCCATATGGCGTTGTATTGCCGGATTACGGTGTGTGTATGGCAAGCTCTGGCCAGACGTGGCAGTGGATACGGTATGGACTGGTCACACAAGATGAATTTTCGTGAGAATTCGCCATCCCTTTGCCATTCCTGGCCAATCTGGCCACGATGATGAATTCTGTCCATCCATGGTATTTTGTTGTGCACATTTGCTGATGGTCACTGAAGGAGCCAACTGAGACCCCGGATTGGGCGGCAAGCTGCACCACCGATATGCGAAGCGAGCAGCAAAACGCGTCCGGTCACCCGCGCGTCACGGCCCACACCTGGAGTGCAAACATGTCCAGCGTCGGGTCCTGGGCCGCAGCCTCATCTCCCTCTCGCCTTCCTTGCCTATGACCGAGCGTGCCTGTGTCTCCGCCAAAACCAGAAGTGAGCTCTTCTGCGGTGGGTGCAGCACACCGGCGAGCCAGCGCTTGCGCCGGCGGGATAGGGTAAGGGTGGACGAGCTCAGGTGTGGGATGCGGCACGTCCTCTCCCGTTCCCGACCATACTCCCTTTCCTCTCCCTCCGCCTCTCCCGCTCACCGTCTCGTTCACGGTCGCGGTCTCATTCGTGATCTCGTTCTCTATCCTTGTCGTGCTTGCCAGACAGCCGGCGTGGCGAACGCGAGCCACGGTAGTGACTTAACAGGCTATATGAAGTCTTCACTCCGCAAGGTCGTCGACGATGCGCACCAGCAGCAGGAGCCACTCAGCCAAAAGGGTTCAAAAGGCGTGCATGGCGCTCTCATGGCGTGACGAGCGTAAGCGTCCGTGGCCTTCTCGTGGGCATGCCCTCGAGCGGGAATGAATGCGGGTACAGGTGCGGTTGGAGATGTACCTCTGGCCGCGGATTTAGCATGCGCTATCGCTCTCGCTATGAGATGTGAAATGCTGCGGTAGAATGCGCGGGGAAGCGCATATGGATGCGAACGGTGGCGGAGGGGGTGGGACTGGAGGAGTCCAAAATGTCGAGGAGTCGAGATCCAGAAAGCTGAGGCTGGTCGTACCTCTGTGCAACTACCGTACCCTTTCATGTTTGGCCTACGACATCGACGTCGTGACCCAAGTCCGTGGATCGTCATGCAGAGACGTCAGAAAAGCCGCAGCGGAGTCGGGGTATGAAGGAAGAAGTCCCAGAGTAGACGCCCATCAAGAGGACGGCCCGAGGCGCTCCACGGCCGCGCCAGCCATATTAGGCGTGTTCAATTCTTGTCGCTCGCTCATTTCCTCGAGCGCTTAACGGGCGCCTGCCTACCTGGATTCAAGGTCAGATCAAGCGCCTGTAGCACAGCAAGCAGAGGGGGGCAGGCGGCGGGTGCAACATGACCACATGAGGGTCGCGAGCTGGGACTAAGGAGCGCCGCGAAAACTTGACGATTCGAAATCTAGAGAGCTCTATGACTCGAGACGCGGAGTCGTCCCGCAAGGTTTTGGGTCCAATTGCCATCAGGCTTACAGCAACCCCAGGTGAACCGTATGTATGTCGTGCCGAATCTGGTTCGGATTTGGGCGCATTGTGTACGATTATTCTCGAGCAACGAGTCTATGACGCTCTCCCGATGTCTCCATCCACTCTCCGGACAGGTTTTCTGGGTATAACAAACCTAGCATAGGACCATCCCGTCGATCTCGCTGCACCCGCTGCCTGCGCACCTCTGCTCGCTTTGTTACAGGCGCTTGAGCTGACCTTGAATCCAGGTGGGCAGGCGCCCGGTAGGCGCGCGAAGAAATGAGCGAGCGACAAGAATTGAACACGCCTATTGTCGCAGCCCTTCTCGCGCACAACCAAACCAGCGACGGTGTACCCGACCGAGCTATAAGAGCTTGATAACCTCTGCTTTGCAGCCACTCGCACTGACGATCGCGAAGGATATCAGAGGTTCGCGCTGCGTTTCGTTTGGCATGTCTCGTTTCTCAGCTGACCCTTTCAAGCCCCGTTCAGACAGTTTCTTTGTCCTTGTACCGTAATCCATACGATCCTTCCATGTGAATTTTCATTGAGGGCGTCGTGCTCCTGCACTGGGATAGACATCAAACACTGAGCCCAGCCTGTTCGTGGCCGTCGTAACCATAACTGCATCCTTCATAACGCTGTAGATGACTGATCACACAGCTTGCAGCTTACGCGCACGGTGCATGATTCCACTTGACACCACTTGACAGAACCTAACTTGACAGACTTCATCTTCAGCACGCTCCCGTTCACCGGAATTCCCATGTTTGGACTTTGGGCTTGGAATGAAACACCTCGCACATGAAGTGTTCCGTCTACGATCGGGGCCGGGACGTTCCAGTGGGGTTCGCGACTATCTCAGAATGTAATCACGATAGGTCTCTGACACTCCACGATGCCGCGCTTCTGGTTCTCTGACGGATGCTGAGCGGAGAAGCGTTCTCCGCCCGGACGCCGATACCAGCGACACTCGATCAGACCCGACGCGCCTCTGCCGCCATAACCGTTCACCACGTTCCCATGGTGCCAGCGGGCTCCCTGCCCCCACTCAGGCTGATTCTGCACCGACCACCAGCCGACATCCTATAACAGCCTCGGACCATCAATGAAGTCTGCTATGCGCAAGATCAAGAGCAAGTTGTGTAAACGTGGACGTATCAAGCGACTCTCTCAACCACCTACGGACAAATCCAGAGTCGCGTCTATCGATGCGATATCTGCAGGTGTTGTTTCCACAGAGGTCGGTCCCCAGGCTTCCAGCGAAGCATGTTCCACTTCGTAAACGGTGTCCGTCGTCTCACTCAAGAGAACGCAGGACGCAGCTCCCGCGCCAAGCCCCGCTGCGGATGTCGCCGCAATAAGGGCAGCCGTCGATGACGGCCGTACAGCGTTGGCCTCTCTTAGCTCACCTAATACCATCGTGGCCAAAGCGGCGACTGCCGTCGAGGCAACTCCAGAAGCTGCCGAAAGCGTGTACGAGCTGTGGAAGCCCGTACTGGAGAAGGTGGAGGTCTTTGCATCGCTTGTCGAGAGCATAGGGGACGTGCGTCTGTACCTATCGTATATCGAATTTCGGCCGTGCTGAAGATAATGCTCAGCTCCATCCTTACGCCAAAATCGCATCCACTGTTCTCCTTTCGGTTGTCAAGGTACACTGTCTCTGCATCAAACTTTTAGTCTACGCTGCTGATCTGAGCCATTCCCTCTAGCCTGTAATCGACCAAGACAAACGAGACAACGCTATAGCCAATCTTCTAGAGGCTATGGACGACCTCTATGGACTCGTGAACAAGTCCGATCTCCTCGGTGGCTTGGATGAATATCGCCAGGTGCTGCTCAAAAATATGTCGAAGAAGACGAAGGAGTGTGCGGAGTTTATTCAGAAGGAGGCTCAATTCACGAACTTTTGTGAGGACATCGCTCGCTGGGACTGGTTGTGTTGCGTGCTACTAAGGCGTCTTCATTCTAGGGATCCGAGCGGGAACCAACGTGATATCGGGTTCACACGTAGATAACCAAGTGCGTGACTTCACCGAGGCTTTCGTGGACCTTCGTCGGTCCTTTACCGAAGCGGGAGTGCTCGAGGCGGAAATTCGTGTGGCAGATCTGGCAAATCGGAGTAAGCTCTCGCCCTTTCCCTTCTCTGTTAGCCCCTCGTTCTTATCGACGGCTCAAGGCATCACCAACGGTTTGCCTCATGTACCCGGCGCAGGACTCAATTCGGCTAAAACTTGTCTCGCGGGTACGCGTGTGAAGACGCTGTGTGCGCTCCAAGACTGGATCAACGACCCCAAGCCCGATGCACCACGAGTTCTCTTCCTCCTCGGCGGTGCCGGGGCCGGCAAGTCTTCCATCGCCCATTCCATTGGCGTCCACTTCGAGGCTCAACACAGGCTGGGCTCCTTCTTCTGCTTCAATCGTACCTTTCAAGCAGAGCGTCCGCCAAACCGCGTGTTCAGAACAATTGCGCGCGATCTGGCGAACTGGAATCCCACCTTCCGTCATGCGCTCGCGAACGTCCTCCGTGATCAGAGCGATTTAGCAGGGTCAGTCGACATCACGAAGCAGTGGGAGGGGCTTGTTCTCAGGCCACTCAAGACGGTTCCTTGGATTGGGCCGGTGGTTGTCGTCATCGACGCATTCGATGAAAGTAGCTCCGCTGACGCGCCCGAGCGCCGTCTGCTACTGAAGCTTCTCACGGAGGGTTCCAGGGAGCTTCCTCCCAACTTCCGCATCCTGATCACATCCCGTCCCGAGCACGATGTCATGCGCATCGTACATCCCTCAAAAGACAATCATCTGCACGTCAGCCACGTAACCCTCGATGACGACAAGGTAGAGGCGACATCAGACATCGAACGATACGTCCGTCACGAGCTCGTTCCAGATGATTCACTATCGGATGAGGCACTCCACGACGAGGACTTCCGGCTGCTAGTGACTAAGGCGGAGGGCCTGTTCCAGTGGGCTGCGACGGCCTGCAGAGTTGTTCTTCAAAACCCGGCCTTCCTCACATTGAGAGAGCGGTTCGAACTACGTCTGCGCCCGATGTTGCGAGGGGGTCCTTCTTCTCTTGACGACCTCTACCGAACAATTCTAGAGCAACTTTTCAAGCTGGAGCCAGAAGCGGCGGAGCGTTTCCGCTCTGTGATGGCACAGATCCTTTGTGCCTCTTCTCCGCTATCGATCGATTCACTGCATGAACTGAGGCGTCACGCGACTGGCACTCAGAAGGACGAAGTCGCCCTTGTCGTGGCATACATGGGCTCCCTTCTCTCCGGCGTATCTACCCGGACATTTCCTATCCAACCGCTTCACACATCGTTTCGCGACTTCCTCGTTGACGAGACTAGAAGCGGGGAGTGGTTTGTCGACCTGGCACGGGGGCATTCCATCATGGCGCTCGGTTGCCTCCGCGTCATGAACTATCGATTGGCCTTCAACATCTGCCGCTTGGAGACGTCCTACATCCTGAACCGTGACATTCCTGATCTGGACTCCCGCCTTTCCACCTACGTTCCCCAAAGCCTGTTGTACGCTGCATGCAACTGGAAAGATCACCTCGCCACCACTCATCCGTCAGACCTCCAACAAGAACTGAGCAGTTTCTTGCGAGAAAAGCTTCTGTTCTGGTTCGAATTGCTCAGCCTCCTCAAGTGTGTCAATCGCGCCGCCCCTTCGTTGGAAGCCGCACTCAAGGGGTATGATGTGAGCCTCGTCGTTGCACTTGACCCATTTGTATCTTGATCTGATTCACGACCGTCATAGGACTCTGGGAGTGATCCATCGAAGAAGCTGTTGCGTGATGCGATTTCCTTCGTCCGCCGGTTTGCTGGTGTAATAGCCCAGGCCGCTCCTCACATCTACATCTCGGCTCTGCCTTTCTCTCCGACGTCGTCCAGGGTCCGGAACAATTATCTCCCGTATTTCCCCTGCCTTCCGCTTGTCGATGGCATTCGTGACCGTTGGCCGCGGGCTCATGCTGTCCTCTCGAGGCACACAGATATCGTTCGTTCCGTGGCATACTCCCCTGATGGTCGGAGTATTGTGTCAGGATCGGATGACAGGACAGTGCGAGTCTGGGATGCGGAGACGGGCGAAGCGATCCATGAGCTCTCTTGCGGCGACTGGGTTTTGGGGGTTGCTTTCTCGCCGGATGGCCATCACATCGCCGCAGTACTCAATGATTCAACGGTGTGGATATGGGATTCCACGACAGGGGAGGCTGTTTGTGAACCTCTACGGGGTCACGAAGATGCAGTGTGGTGTGTTGCTTACTCTCCAGATGGACGTCTCATTGCATCGGGTGATGGGGATGGTCGTATTTGCATCTGGTTCACCGAAACACACGGGATGGTGAATCAGCCTATCCTTGCCCATTCATCCGACGTTCATTGCGTTGCCTTCTCTCCGACTAGTCAATACATCGCGTCGGGTTCTGACGATGATACGGTGCAAGTTTGGGACGCCGTAGAGGGACGCGCTGTCGGGAAGCCCTTCGAAGGCCATACGAACCGGGTCACTTCTGTCCTTTTCTCGCTGGATGGTCTTCGGATTGTCTCGGGATCATGGGACTCGACAATTCGGATCTGGGACTTTGAGACCCATCAGACGTTGAAAACGATATCCCACGACCTTCTAGACGACGTATGGTCTCTCGCGCTCTCTCCCGATGGCAGGCGCATCATCTCTGGATCTGAGAATGGCAGCGTCCTCATATGGGATGTGAAGACACATGGGATTGTCGCGGGGCCATTTGTTGGGCACAGCAGCTACGTACGCGCTGTTAGTTTCTCACCTGACGGTCGCCATGTGGTGTCCTGCTCGGATGATATGACAATACGGATATGGTCTACAGAGAAGAGCACAAGCGTGGAAAGCCCTGGCGATGTCTCTCCCGATACATCAAATCCCGCCGTGACCTCGGTCGCGTACTCGCCTGACGGACGCCGAATCATATCGGGCTCTATAGATGGCACTATCAACGGGTGGGACGCGGACACTGGCAAATCCATCGGCAGGCATCCGGAGGGCCATTCCAACCGTATAAATCGCATCAGGTTCTCTCCGGATGGCGGTCGCTTTGTTTCCGCCTCGGGGGATCACACTCTTCGTGTATGGGACTCGACTACGCTCCAACCCCTTGGAGAGCCTCTACGTGGCCATACGAACTGGGTATGGGACGCTGATTACTCCCCAGATGGCCGCCGGATCGTCTCGTGTTCGGACGACGGCACCATTCGCATCTGGGATGCAGAGACATACAAGTGTCTCGTCGGGCCTTTGGACGGGCATGAAGATTGGGTCAGATGCGTCGCGTGGTCACCGGATGGCAAGCACATCGCATCGGGCTCGGACGATTGGACAGTGCGGGTGTGGGATGCTGAGACGGGGCACGCTGTTGGCGAGCCATTCTGGGGCCACAAAGGCTGGGTCTTGTCTGTTTCATGGTCCATGGATGGCCGGTATGTACTGTCATCCAGCGAGGACGGCACAATCAGATTCTGGAATACAGAGAAATGGGAAGAAGAAGGCGAGACTTTACGCGGCCACACCGGCGCTGTGTACAATGTGATGTATTCTCCGGACTGCCGACGGATTGTGTCCACGGGCAGGGACGGGACGATCCTGATGTGGGACGCACAGACACGACAGTCTGTTGGGGAAAGTCTGACCAATCCATTCGGAAGGATCGGTTGCCTCGCGCTCTCACCCGATGGTCGCCGTATCATATCAGGTTCAGACGCGTCCATCCGAGTCGTCGTTTGGGATATGAATGCTTTCACAGGCAAGTGGTAGCTTCTCTTTTCTCGCATCCAAGCTGAACATAGATATACGGTTTCAAGATCCTTCTGGAGCTTATCCTCCCTTCGTCAACTACAATGCTATGTCAACGAGCTCATTTGAAGGCCCGTCTGAGCTGTCGACTCCTCCGGAGTTCAAGAGATGGAATGGTTGGATCACAGACAAGAACGGCAATCGTGTGATGTGGGTGCCGGACGAGTATCGTGACTCTCTACTGTGGCGAGGGATGGTCAAGGTCGTGGGGCGCAAGTCGCTCACCATAGAATTCCCGAATGCGTTCTCTGGAACCGAGTGGGCGAGATGTTACAAGGCTCAGACCCCCCCTTAGTTCTACTGGCTTAGTGACTCACTAGGACACGTGTTCTTCGCCTATGCTCTCCCGTCGGCTTTCCCCTAATCTTGAATGTAACAGCAGATGTAATGTCTTCATGTTTCGGTGTGTCTCGTTATATATTGAGATGATCCGGATGATAATGGTACCTAATACGCCGAAGCAACATGGAAGTGCGGTGCGGTCCCAAGTGTATCTAGGGAGCAACTGGCAAGTAATTCCACTGAGCAGGGCAACTTCGTTACATACTAACACCGTTGGTATCGCTTCTCAGCCAGAAATCATGATGAAGTCCTTGGACCGTTTGATTTAGTATTGCAAGATGTTCGGCAGATCCATTCTGTAATAACAGTGTTTCTTTGGCAGCAGTCACGATGGTAGCCACCCCGCCGCAGACACCGCGCCCGTTAGTACAAACGACGACTCAGACGACGTGCCAGGTAATGGCGTCCTCGACGGCCCGGTCTCATTGACACTCTTGTGCACCTTCTCAACGGCCCATCAGTCTCGTTACGCGAACGCGGAGCCCCTGTTGAACCCGCCCCATCGATGTTTGATCTTCCACATCGACACACTCCCGCTCTTTGAGCACGCGCTCGTTGAACATTCGGGCATTGGACTCGTCGTTCTACCGACTCTTGAGGTAGGTGATGGGGTCAAGCACATGCGTGTCACTCGAGTGCCAGTCGACCTAGGTACCACCGCGTTGCGAGGTCAGTGGAGGTGCGCAAGGAGAGGAGGAAGCAAAGGATGACGTACCTTCACGAGGCTGGCGAGGTGCACATTCTGGCCTGTGGCGTCCGGAGTCGCGGTGGTGTTGCTGTTGTCTGCTCGGACCCGGCATCTGCGACCTTTTTCAAGGCATGCTAAGTGTGAGTAAGGCCGGGAAGGACGAGGGAAGAAGCGAGGAAAAAGAACCTAGGGCTCGTTGTTGTACATGGCGCTCATGTAGCGGAGCGAAAGACAGCGCTGTGGGGGACAGTGTATGCGCACGTGCCAAGGGATGCAGCGCGAAGTCCTGAGGGAAGGCCTGTACGCGGATGTGCATGAAGAAGTGAACGAGAGTGAGTGTATGCGTGGAGTACGACACGGTGAGAGGGCAGATAGCATGGCGTTCGCATCCGACCTCTGCGTCCCTTTCAGACCTGCGATCGATTGACGACGAGCGAGGAGAGCGACAGGAGAGGGGGAAGCCACTGAATGAGCCAGGACCCCAGAATTGCACTACCGAGAGCCCTTCCACCGCCGAGTCTCGCGTGTCTACCGTGCAAACAGCACAACGCGTCCGGTCACCCGTGTCACACAGGCACACGACCGATGGCTGGAATGCAAACAGGACCAGCGTCGGGTTCTGGGCGTGCGTCCGCGTCTCCAACAGCTCCACCATCTCCGGTCTGAGCAGGCCTCGCGACCTCCCTATCGCGCTCCTTCACAACAACGGGCGCACGCATATTCGCGCGCAAGTTCGGCTTGAATTCCTCCGCAACGGACGCGGCGAGCTGAATAACTCAGACTCGCTGTTCGCGAACGACTAGAGCAGGGCCGATTGTGGTCGGACGCAAGTGTGACTCGATTTGGGAGCGAAGGGGAGGAGAGGGTTGAAGGCAAGCGAGCTTGTGGCTGAGCAAGTTGGATGAACAGTCCGTCGTGGACCGGGTGGTACTAGGTAGGAAGCGGGTTTGAGGGAGGGAAGATGGTGGGAGCCATCTTTGACGGCTCATGAATCTGCCCATGTAGCTGCTCAGGCTCAAGGACGTTCTCGTTCTGGTGACGAAGGTGCGGACGCGCGACTGGCACTGCTTGCGCTCCTTGTCCTGCTCCCACCAAACGCGGCCGTCCATCTCCCATCTCCTGTCTCTTACGTGTACCCTCCCCTTCCTCTCCACCTATCGCGGTTACGGTCGCGGACGTGTCCGCATTCCCGTTTACATTCACGCTACGGTGTTTGCCAGACAGCCGATGCCAGAACGCGAGGGATGATAAGCTCACCGCCAGTACAAAGATTCTGAATGGCCGTCTTAAGCGATTCGCCCAAGCACCAGAGTATATTCATGAAATTCTGACGACGCGACGGACGCGGGTGTCCTTGGCCTTCTCGTGGGTGTGCGCTCGAGCGGGAATGCAGAGAGGTGACGTTAGAGACGCAGTCCTGGCTGCGGATTCAGGGAAGCGCGATGCATGCGCTATTGCCCTTGCTATGAGATGAGAAGTGCTCAGCAGCATGTATGGGGAAGCGCATGTAGATGTGAGCGGTGGCGAAGGGCAGCAGTGGCACCAGAGCAGTCTCAAGAGCATCTGCTGAGGCCTCGAGATTTGGGGACCTGGTTGTTGTTGTGGATGCCAGTGGTTGTAAGCAAAGGCCGTCAAGTTGATTAGAGTGTGACTTGACTTGCTTGTCGCTCGCAGTCGGAGACGTAGTCACAAGGGCGGTGACAACGGCTGGCAGGAGTTTGTGTTTGGCGCGCCGTGTTCAATATGGGCGTCTATTTCTCCTCCTTCGTCCCGACCCCCATGCCAGGACTGGGCTTCCGTTTCGTAATGACAATAATCAGGGATGGTGGAAAACGAACGGCTTCGCGATGAACTCGGAGGTCAGAAGATCCTTGCTGCTCACGCGCATCGTGTTTTATTCATTCCCACCTGACAGGAGTTTGTCCCTCTAGCTCCGCCGTGCATCATCATGAGCGTCATGCTTGTAACGGAGTACCGTGTATCCTATGATATTTGCTTAACTTGAAATCGTGTTCTAAAGCATTGTGGTCTTCCCCTGGACTGAACTCACCTCCAATTGAGTTCAGCTCCCATCCGGCTGTCCCAAACAACATAAGTATATAGCTGCGTCCCTCGCAATACCTCAGGAAACCACTCACGTCCTAATGTGCCACCCTTCTCAGTGTTAGGATATACAGGATGCTACATTTCCCCAAAGGGTATCAAATCCGTGCACAATTAACCAGAGGCCGCCGCTCCTAACGCTGAGACCTTACTGAAGCCGAGTGTTTACGTTCTAGATGTCGACCGTGCGAACGTGTCCACAATGCGTGCACGCGGCAGGCACGCTGTCCTCGGGTACACCAAGGCGGCACTGTTGGTCCCCCCACATCCTGTGACATCTCGAGGCAATCAACGTACATCGTCATGCGCAAATCCAAGGACAAGGCATCTCGTGCTTTGAAGAAACTCTTCAGACCATCATCGAGCGGATCTGGAAGCACACCGAGCAATGTAGGACGTGCAAGTCTCCAGCCGGAGCCCGATGAGCAGCCCGTTGTTCAGCGTGTTTCAGGAGAGGTACGCAACCAACTTTTATCATTACTGCTGTTTCTCTTTCGCTGACTGAATGCCTCATACATCCAACAGCATGATACAATCCCGACGACAGGCACCACACTCGGCGGGATCGATAAAGCGGATCTCGACCAAGCTGGAAGAGCGCTCTCGTCGCTCAAATCTCTCGGGAAACATGTGGCCAAAGCGCTCCAGTCTATCGATCCGACCGCGAAACACGTGAAGAGTTCGTACAAGCTGTGGGAACCTCTGCTGGAGAAGGTCCAGGTCTTTGCGTCATTGGTGGAGAAAATAGGTGACGTGCGTCAATCGTATCGTCTATAGAGCAAACCATGGCGGTACTGAAGGAATTGTTCAGATACATCCATACGCCAAGATAGCGTCGACCGTCCTACTCTCAGTCGTCAAGGTACGCCCCTTCAACGTGTCGTTCTACCGTGGTCGCCTCGTCTTATCTGTGCTATCAGCCTGTGATCGCACAAGACAAGCGTGACAAAGCCATGGCCGACCTTTTCGTCTCGATGTATGACCTCTACGACTTCGTAGTAGAAGCCGGTCGCCTCCCCGAGTTGGACAAAAAGCGCTTGAAGCTGCTCAAGAACATGTTGATGCAGACAGCGGAGTGCGCCTACTGTCGCGGCGACTAGGCACGTAGACTCGGGTCGATGTTCGGCGACGACCCCGTAAGCGAGCGGCGAGGAGCCGAAAGGGAAAGAGAGAGATAGGGAGGGATAAACGTATCAAGAAACTTGACGAGGGCAGAGCGGCGGTCGGCACGAAGGCACAAGACCGACAAAAGCTAGTCTTCATGCAGACAGCGACAGACTAGTCCCAATGACCAAGTTATACATTAGCAAACGAAGGGAGATACAACGCTATGGCCACTCACCTAGTCCCAATGACCAAGAGGTCGAGATGGGGACTAGGGAGTGCCTAAGGAGGTCCTTATATACTAGAAGGGCTGCTTAGCAACCAAAGACAAGGCGCGAGAGCGAGGCAGTGAAGATGACAAAGGGAGAACAAAGGGTGGGAAGGAAAAGGCAAAGGCATGGCGATCACGGGAACGTAGCATGCGGGTGTGGGAATGTATCTACAGTGTCCAAACTGGGATGGGCTAAGAAAGGAAATGGTCCGGAAATGGAAGGTGGGCGTCAAGGGGAGGGGAACGGGCGGCAAAAAGGGGCGTCTGTCCAACGTCCGTGACACCTACTTCATCCGGGATAAGGCTCAAGTCGAGAACTTCTGTAAGGATGATATTTAGTAAACTTTGACTGCAAGTTCGCTCTTATAAACTTTTGTGCTAGGGGTCCGAGCGGGCAAAAACGCGGTTTTTGGTCCGCAGATAGACAGCAAAATCGCCAAGTTCACCGAGGCCTTCAAGGACCTTCGCCGTTGCTTCACCGAACATGGAGTGCTCGAGATCAAGATCAAGCTAGCAATTCTCGAAGATATCCGTGAGCTGCCCATTATATTGCCCCACAATCCACGTCCTGACTCGCAGTCCAAGGCGTGACTGTCGAATTGTCTGCTCTGGCTGATGTCCCCGGTGCAGGGCTTGACTCGGAGAAAGCTTGTCTTGAAGGCACGCGTCAGCAGACGCTGAACGAGCTCATAGATTGGATCAACGACCCTCAGGCTCCTGCGGTATGCTTCCTCCTCGGGGGCGCCGGGACTGGCAAGTCCTCCATCGCCCATTCTATCGGCAACATCTTCAGTCCGTTTCGTCGTCTTGGCTTCTTCTGCTTTGATCGTTCCTTTCAGAATCGTCATCCAAATCTCATGTTCAGCACGATCGCACGTGATCTGGCCGAGCAAAATGCCGACTTTCGATGTGCACTCGCTGAAGTCCTCAGAGAGCAACAACCAGAGCTCAAACGGTCGATGAACATAGCTTCCCATTGGAACTCGCTGATTCTCACCCCACTCAAGAGGTTTCTGCCAGCTGGCCCGGTACTCATCGTCATCGACGTGTTCGATGAATGTAGCTCCTCCCGCGATCTGCTGCTGAAGCTGGTCACGGGGAGTTCTGGCAGCCTTCCTCCTAATCTGCGCATCCTTGTCAATTCCCGTCCTGAGCGCGATGTCAGGGTCGCTATACGCTGCGCTCACAGCGACCATTTGCGCTCAATGGACCTCAACGAGAAGAATGGAGAGGCGAGGTTGGACATCGAGTACTACATCCGTCACCAACTTACTTCTGATGAGCCCCATATCGACGGAACGCTGGACGACAGAGACTTCCAAGAACTGGCTAACGAGTCGGAGGGCCTGTTCCAGTGGGCGGCAATGGTATGCAGAGCTATCAATCACAAGCCGGCCGGTCGCACGCTGAAGGAGCGGTTCCGTAGTCGTCCGCGCGCTGCGCAAGGTAAAGAGTACCCCCTCGATCCCCTCTACAAACAAGTGTTAGGGAACCTGTTCAAGTCCGAAGACGCGGAACTCATGGATCACTTTCGTTCTGTTATGGCCCAGATCCTTTGCACCCCTTTCCCCATTTCCACCCAATTGACAGATGAACTACGTCGCATTGCAACTGGCGTTCAGGAGAACAAGGTTACTCTCATAGTGGCGGACATGGGACCACTTCTCTCTGGTGTATCCACCCGGACATCTCCCATCCGTCCGCTTCACACATCGTTCCGTGACTTCTTGACTGATGCGGCTCGAAGCGGGGAGTGGTTTGTCGACCTGGCACGGGGGCATTCCATCATGGCGCTCGGTTGCCTCCGCGTCATGAACAATCGACTGGCCTTCAACATCTGCCGCTTGGAGACGTCCTACATCCTGAACCGTGACATTCCTGATCTGGACTCCCGCCTTTCCACCTACGTTCCCCAAAGCCTGTTGTACGCGGCATGCAACTGGAATGATCACCTCGCTACCACTCATCTATCGGACCTGCAACAAGAACTCAGCATGTTTTTGCGAGAGAGGCTTCTGTTCTGGTTCGAATTGCTCGGCCTCCTCAAGTGCGTCAATCGCGCCGCACCTTCGTTGGAAGCCGCACTCAAGGGGTATGATGTGAGCCTCGTTGTTGCACTTGATCCATTTGTATCTTGATCTGACTCACAGGTATTGTAGGACTCTGGGAGTGATCCATTGAAGGAGCTGTTGCGTGATGCGATTTCCTTCGTCCGCCGCTTTGCTGGTGTAATAGCCCAGGCCGCTCCTCACGTCTACATCTCAGCTCTGCCCTTCCCTCCGACGTTATCCAAGGTCCGGACGATGTATCTCCCATATTTCCCCTCTCTTCCACTCATTGATGGTGTTTGTGACCATTGGCCGCAGGCTCATGCCGTACTGTCGAGGCACACAGGCTGGGTCTGTTCCGTGGCATACTCCCCTGACGGCCGGCACATAGTATCAGGATCGGGAGACAAGACGGTGCGAGTATGGGATGCAGAGACGGGCGAAGCAATCCTGGAGCTGTCTTGTGGCGACTGGGTTTCTGGGGTTGCTTTCTCGCCGGATGGCCGTCACATTGCCGCAGCGCTCGATGATTTGACGGTGCAGATATGGGATTCCACGACAGGGGAGGCTGTTTGCGAACCTCTCCGGGGTCATGAGGGTGCAGTGTGGTGTATCGCGTACTCTCCAGATGGACGTCGCATTGTATCTGGCGATAGTCGTGGTCGTATTTGCATCTGGTCCACGGAGACACTCAGGATGGTTTATAAGCCTATCCCTGGCCATGCATCCCACGTCAACTGCGTTGCCTTCTCTCCGACTAGTCAGTACATCGCGTCGGGTTCTGAGGATAAAACAGTGCGGGTTTGGGACGCCGTAGAGGGACGTGCTGTCAGGGAGCCCTTCGAAGGCCATACGTCGACTATCTCTTCCGTCCTTTTCTCGCTGGATGGTCTTCTGATTGTCTCGGGATCATGGGACTCGACAATCCGGATCTGGGACTTCAAGAACCAACAGTCGTTGCACACGATATCCCACCACCTTCTAGATGACGTATGGTCTCTCTCGCTCTCTCCCGACGGCGGGCGCATCGCTTATGGATTGAAGAACGGTAGCATCCTCATATGGGATGTGGAGAAACACGGGATTGTCGCGGGGCCATTTGTTGTGCACAGCAACCGGGTACGCGCTGTTAGCTTTTCACCTGACGGTCGCCATGTCGTATCCGGCTCGGATGATGCGACGATACGGATATGGTCTACAGAGGAGAGCACAAGTGTAGAAAGCCCTGGCGATGTCTCCTCCGATTCATCAGATTCCGCCCCCACGAGCTCCGTGCGCTCGCTTGCGTACTCGCCTGACGGACGCCGAATCATATCGGGCTCTTTAGATGGCACGATCGACGTGTGGGATGCGGACACTGGCAAATCCATCGGCGGGCATCTGAAGGGCCATTCCCGCCGCATAACTCGCATCAGGTTCTCTCCGGATGGCGGTCGCTTTGTTTCCTCATCGGGGGATCACACCCTTCGTGTATGGGACTCGACTACACTCCAACCCCTCAGAGAACCTCTACATGGCCATACGGACTGGGTACAGGACATTGATTACTCCCCAGACGGCCGCCGGATTGTCTCATGTTCGCACGATGGCACTATTCGCATCTGGGATGCCGAGACATACGAGTGTCTTCTCGGGCCTTTGTATGGGCATAAAGATTGGGTCACGTGCATTGCGTGGTCACCGGATGGCAAGCACATCGCATCAGGCTCGTGGGATAGAACAGTGCGGGTGTGGGATGCTGAGACGGGGCACGCTGTTGGCAAGCCATTCAGGGGCCACAAAGGCTGGGTCTTGTCTGTTTCATGGTCCATGGATGGCCGGTATGTACTGTCATCCAGCGAGGACGGCACAATCAGATTCTGGGATACAGAGAAATGGGAAGAAGAAGGCGAGCCTTTACGCGGCCACGCCGACGCTGTGTACAATGTGATGTACACTCCGGACTACCAACAGATTGTGTCCGGAGGCGAGGACGGGACCATCTGGATGTGGGATGCACAGACACGACAGCCTGTTGGAAAAAGCCTGTCTAATTGGTTCGGAAGTGTTAATTCCCTTGCGCTCTCCCCGGATGGTCGCCGTATCATATCAGGTTCGTACCGGTCCACCCGAATTGTTGTTTGGAATGTAAACACTTTCACAGGCAAGTGGCATCTCCTTTCTTACGTCTGAGCTAACCATAAACATACGTTTCAAGACCCTCCTGGAGCTCATCCCTCCTTCATCAACTTCAAAGCTATGACGGCAAGCGCAGCCATAGACCCGCCTGCGCTCACAGCTCCTCCAGAGTACGGGAAGTGGAACGGTTGGATCATGGACAATTACGGTAACCATGTGACGTGGGTGCCGGACGAGTATCGTGATTCTCTACTGTGGCAAGGGATGGTCAAGGTCATGGGGCGCGAGTCACTCACCATAGATTTCTCGGATGCTTTCTGTGGAACCGAGTGGGCGAACTGTTACAAGGCTCGGCTTTCTACTTAGTTCTACTGGCTCAATCACTCCCCAGGACAAGTGCATGTTTGCCCGTCGTCTTTCCCTCAAGTCTGAAGCTATGAGTAGAATGTCATGTCTTTGTTGCGGTGTCTCGTCATATACTTAGACGATCCGGAGAACACTGAATAGTGGTCATACATGACGGGCTGAAGCAACGTGGAAGAGCGGCGCAGTGTTAAATCTGTCTATAGAGCGTTTGGCAAGCAAGAATGCCATGCGGGCCACGCCATGCAAACTCGCTGCATACCGAGATGTTGGTGTCCTTACGCAGCCAGCGGTCATGGCATGCTAAATGTTGTTTCATTTGATATTGAAAGGGTTCTGCTAGCAGATATGTGAAGGCGACTCATACAACAAGCCTGCTATAACAGTGTTTCTTTGGCGGGCGGTCTCGACGGTAGCTGTAACGGTGGGCGTCACGGCTGACGCACCGTCACAGAGAAGTACGGCAGTACCCGGCTTAGTCACCCGAGGTAACGGTACTTGGCGGCTGTAACGGGCTGGGAAAGTGGGACGGGTAGTCCAACGGTTGTGCGCGGTGCAATTCCCGCACGTTCCATTTTCAGCTAGTCGTTACAGTAGCCGCCCTGCCGCAGACACCGCGCCCGCCAGCACAAACGACGGCGCGGGCGACGGGCCAGGTGATCTCGTTCTCGACCGCCTGCTCTCATTGAGAATCTTGTGCGCCTTCTCACCGGCCTTTCCAATTCATCGCGCTGATACGAACCCTCTGTCGCCCCATCGTTGTTTGATCTTCTGTATCGACACACTCCCGCTTTTTCAACACGCGCTCCTTGTGCGTCGGAGTATCGGACTTGTTGCGCCGACTCTTTGGTTAGATGACAGGATGAAGCTCGCACGGGTCAGTACTCGAGTACCGATCGACCGAGGTACGACTGCGCCGCGGGGTCAGTGGAGGTGCGCGAGGGGAGGAGGATGCGAAGGATGACGAACTTCTGCGTGGTCCCAAACACGCTGTGCGACAGGATGTGGGCTAGGGGAAAAGCCACTGAACGAGTCAGGGACGGGCACCGAGAGCTCTCCGACTGGCGAGTCTCGCGTGTCCCACACGTCGCGAGCGAACAGCAAGACGCGAGCGGTCACCCGTGTGACGCCCCACACGACCCACGCGTGCAGCGCGAACAGGACCAGCGTCGCGTCCTGCGCGTGCTCCCTCTTCTACAGAAGCTCGATGATCTCCCTAGCGCAGGTCCTACGGTCTCCCTGTCGCGATCCTTCGCGACGGCGGGCACACACTGCACGATTTCCTGGTTGAGGTTCGCGAGCGCCTGGAGGACCGGCACGCCCGACCAATCGTCGGTACTAGTCATGGAGACGAAGCCCTTGAGCGAGGCGAGTTCTTCAGCTTGACAAGTAATCGTCCGGCGGGCATCTGAGTAGATCGCGCGTGCAAAGAACCATAGAGCGCGCGCAGCCGCACAGGGTCTCGGCGGAAGGGTGCAGAACGGAAGGATACGTTGAGGATGTAGGCACCATGGGGGGAGAGAGTTGCGGGAGAGCGAGCTGAACGCTCTCGTTCTCACGCTCGGGAGTGAACGCGCTGACGGAGCTGTCTGCGCTGCCTCAGGCTCTCCTGCTCGGACGATACGCAGTCCTCGTCCTGTCTCTCGTCCTCTCCCGTTCCCGACGATGGCCCCTCTCCTTCTTCTCCCTCAGCTTGCCTCGCTTACAGTCTCGTGCCCGCTCGCTATCCCCACCTCGTCCGCTGTCCTTGCTGTGGTTCTTGCTAGGTAGCCAGCGCGAAGAACGCGAACCATGGTGCCTTGTAATCATGTACCGAGACTCGGAGGGGCGGTGCGCAAGATGCGCACCGGCAAAAGGAGCCAATCAGTCGAAAAGGTCTCAAAATGTGTAGATGACGCTCCAATAGCGTGACGAGGGTGAGTGTCCATGGCCTTCTCGCGGGCGTGCGCTTGAGAGCGGGAATGCGGGTGGAAGCAAGGCTGAAGCTTGGCTGCGCATGCGGCGAGGCGCTATGCATGCGCTATCCCTCTGACTATTATATGGGAAATGCTGCGGTAGGTTGGATAGGAAAAAGCATATGGATTGCGAACAGTGATGGAGGAATGTGGTGGGACCAGAACAGTCTCGAGAGTATCTATGGCAGCGACGAGTGGGATCGAGGACGTCAGTCCGAATGTCTGGAGTGCAAAGGGTATCAGACATTTCATGCTTGTCGCTCGGTCGGGTACGCACTCACCGAAGGAGTTCTGGGCGAGAAGGGCAGCGACAACGGACGGCCCTGTGCGCGCAGTCCTCTTTCGGCCTGTTCGTCCTTGCGGGCGTCTGATCAGTTCTCTTTCTGACGACATCTCGTACTGGTTTCCGTGTCTTCTTCGGTTGTCCTTGCGTGCCGACGTTTCTAGACCGTGAAAGCGACAGGGAGCTGTGGAATGGAATGCGACGAGTACTGAACTCGAAGGGAACCTCTTCGTGCTTTCATGGAATCGGCCCACAATCATGCCTTCCGCCGTGGGCCTCCCATTCTAACTTCTCGCAACTCTCCCACCGCACCCTGGAGGGTTTCATAGGTGCGTCTACCAAACACAACTCCCTTTCAACGTCCGTGCTCACGTCCATTCCAGACAAATGTGGATCGCGTAACGAGCCTATTAAATACAGGGGCAAACACTTGGCTAGCAGCTCATCGATAGGGACGATCCACGGCAGGGCAGCAGCAACGCAAACTTCGGCGGCAGCTCAGACGACCTCGTGATCTCATTCTCATGCTCGACGGTCGAACAACCATCCCGTGCGCGTCCTTCGAAGGACCGTGAACCTCATCGCGCGAACATGGAGCCTCTATCGAACCCGCACCGTTTCTGCATTGTCTTGGACACGTTTGGCGCAGCATCCGGCTCTTCGTGTATTCTACCATCTGTCTCTACAGCTCGTGCGTCTCTCGGCTGATGTGGACCCGCGAAATGGCGTCAGTAGAGGTTCGCAAGGAAGGGTAGGATCGGGAGGGTGACGTGCCTTGATACTCCGGTTCCGCTGCGAGATGCGGCGGGGGTGATGCCTGACATGATGGAACGAGGGCGTTTAGAAAGCAAGACGGCGAGATTAGAAGTGAATTCATCAATTGAGGGAGTGCGACGCACGGCGATAGGAAGATAAGCGAGGGCGGATAGCATCGCGTTTGCATCCCGCCTCTGCGCACGCTTTGCCAGTGGACCTGCGATGGAATGACGATGAGCGAATCCGCGCAAGGACGTGGGCTACGGGAGAAGCCATCGAATGAACCAGGGACCCCGGCCGAATACGGCGGGCGAGTTGCACCACAAGAGCTCTTCCGCCGCCAGAGCAAACAGCAAGACGCGTCCGGTCACCCGCCTCACGCCCCACACCACACATGCCTGCAGTGCGAACAGGACCAGCGTCGCGTCCTGCGCGGCAACCTTTGTTGCAGCTATGGCAGGCATGCGTGTATCTCCGTGGCCAGAATTATGAGCAAGCACCTCCGCGGCGGGTGCAACAGATTGGCGAGCTCGCGTTGGCGTGGGCAGGACAGGGCGGGCAAGCCCAAGTGCGTCGACAGGTGCCACGGGGTATGATGCGGACAGCGACTGGGGTGACGGGAATATGGGAGGGGAAACCTGTGGTAGGCAGCTTCAACAGCTCTCTGCGCGTCGAGCGCAGCTGTTCCAGGACGCTCTCGTTCTCATGCTTGAAATCCTGAACGCGCTCAGGGAGCTGCTCGCGTTCCTAGTCCTGCTCAGATGATACGCAGCCCTCCCTTTGCCTTGCCCTGTCCCTCGTCCTCCCGACCATGCGTCCTCTCCCTCCTTTTCCCTCCGCCTGTCCCGCTCACGGCTCGTTCACGGTCGCGGCCTCGCTCGGTGAGTAGTCTTGTTCTCATTCTCTATCCTTGTCGTGGTCCTTGCCACGTAGTCGACGTGACGAATGCGAGGAATGGCCGCCTGTATGAAGACTCCAAGGGGCCATCCGCAAGGTCGTCGAGAATGCCCACCGGCGGCAGGAGCTATTCAGCCCAAGAGCTCCCAAAAGGTGTTCATGGCGATCTCATGGCGTGACGAGCGTAACCGTCCATGGCCTTGTCGCGAGCATGCGCCAGACCGGGAATGCGGATAGAGGTACAATTGGAGATGGCTGCGAATTCACCCAGGCGCGATGCATGCATGCGCTATCGCTCTCGCTATGCGATGATGAATGCTGCAGTAGAATGGGCGGAGAAGCGCATATGGATGCGAACGGTCGCGGAGGAGTGCAGTGTGACCAGAGTCCGAGTCGTGGAAATGCTGAGGCGTCGAGATTCGGAAAGCTGGTCGTAGTCGCCAGTGCGAGTCGTTGTCATGCAAAGGCTATCAAGTTCAATCAGACTCTTGTTGTATATCGCTCAGTAACGTACGCCGTCGCTGGTTGGGTTGTGAGCGAGAAGGGCTGCGACAATATTGGCTCCTCGTGCGCACAGCGTGGAGCTTCTCCATCGGGCCGTCTTCCTCATCGGCGTCTACTCAGGGACCTCTTCCTTCCGGCTTCCACACTCCGACTGGGCTCCCGCTGCTTCGCTATTTGGCTCTGCGTCGCGGCACACGGAGCTGGGTCACGACGTCAATGGTGTAGGCTCAGCATGAAGGAGTATAGTGGTGGTACAGAGGCACGAAGAATATCAGAGGTTCGCGCCGCATTCCATTCAGCATGCCTAGTCCCAACTAACGATCAAACCCTTCAGCTCTGTTCGGCCATTTTTCTTGTCCTTGTATCGTAATTCATACGGTTTTGTCTATGTAAAGCTTGCGTTGAGCGCGTTGTGGTCTTGCATTGGAAGCTTCAACACAGCCCAGCTTGTTGGCGCTGATCTCGTCCAGTGGCCGTCCGAACGATAACTGCATCCATAATGCCACAGAATCCTGATCGCACGGCTTGCAGCTCATGCGCACGGTGCTTATTGTTCGCTTGCTTGCCTCCACTTGACAGAATCTGACTTGGCAGACCTCGTTTTCAGCATGCTCCCGTTCTCCGAGATTCTGTGTTTGGACTTTGTGCCGGAATGGAACACCTTGCACATGCATTGTTCCGTCTACGACTTCGATTGGGAACGTTCCCGATGCTCACTGCATTCTGGGATTAGCTCTTTGTCCATGACACTCTTGTCGCTGGCGTTCGACGTTTTCGACTTCCAAGTGGGTTTGACGACTGTCTCTGAATGGTCACTGACACTCCGTGATGCCACACTTCCAGTTCTCTGACGGACGCTGAACAAAGTCGCGATCTCCGCGCGGGCGCCAGTCTCAGTGATACAATGGTACAAACCCAACGTGCGCCTGCTCCCGAAACCTAGTTCAAGCCTCGTGGTCTCGTCCACCACGCTCCCATAATGCCAGCGGGTTGCCTGCGCTCAGTCAGGCTGTTTCTGCACCGCCCACCAGCCGACATCCTACGACATTGTCAGACCACTGTTGAAGCCCGCCATGCGCAAGTTCAAGAGCAAGTTGTCTAAGCGTTTCAAGAGATTCTCTCGACCATGCACGGACGAAGCCAGAGGCGCGTCTATCGATGCGAAATCTGCAGGTCTATGCACGCTATACTCGGGCAGGACGGAAAACGATGGTATTGGGCGCGCGCTACGGAAGCTGCGCGGGACCACCGAGTCCGTGTCGCCACCGCTCTCTCGCGCGACCGGTGGGCCGAGCTCAAGCCGGCGGAAGGCGAATGTACCTGATACATGAGACGTAGCTAAGCGAGACCAAAAATGGGGCAGCGGAAGGGTGGGTGCAAAAACGAAAGCTCGAGGAGCGCGAGCTCCCGAAGGGCGAGGGGACGAGGATCCTGGGCTGCGAGCCCTTAACCTATATACTACTAGAGACAAAGCAGATGTAAAGCGGCGAGGGGGTGGCACGAGTTACGCTGTCATAGACCCTGGACAATAATCATTGTCCAAAACATGTTGGTCGCACAGAGGTCGTTCCTGAGGCTTCGATCCAAGTATGTTTCACTTCCAGACTTCGTGTCTTTCTGTAGTTGACTGGATGTCTCGCTTAAGGACACGCAAGACGCAGCTCCCATAACAAGCCCGGCTGGGGATGTAGCCCGAATAAGGACAGCCGTCGACGGCGGCGGCGCAGCATTGGCCTCCATCAGCACAGCTCATACAGTCGTAACCAAAGGGGCGACGGCCATCGAACCGGCGACAGAAGCTGTTCAAGGCGCGTACGAGCTGTGGAAGCCCGTACTGGACAAAGTGGCGGTCTTTGCATCGCTCATCGAGGCCATAGGAGACGTGAGTCAGTCAATACCGTCTAGCGAGTTTCGGCGGTGCTCAAGATGATGTATAGCTCCATCCCTACGCCAAGATAGCATCCAAGGTTCTCCTTTCGGTCGTGAAGGTACGGTGTTTTCCACGTATGATTGATCTATGCTCCCAGTCTAAACCATCCCTTTTCAGCCTGTAATTGACCAAGACAAACGTGACAACGCGATGGCTGATCTTCTGGAGGCGATGAGCGACCTTTATGACCTCGTGAACAAGACTGGTCGCTTTGCTGACCTGGACCAATATCGCAAGAAGCTGCTCAAGGATATGTCCTCGAAAACAGAGGAATGCGCAAAGTTCATCCGGGACGAGGCTCGATTTACCAATTTCTGTGAGAGTGTCTCTCGCCGAACTCTTGCCATGACGCATACTGAGCATCAGCAAAATGTCATGGTCTTGAATCTGAACTTGGGCCAAGACCACGGTCTTAGAGCCAAGACCACGGTCTTAGAGCCAAGACCATGGTCTTAGCCTCAAGTCTGCAGTCTTGGTGGTCTTGAGGTCAAGACCATGAACTTGGAGCCAAGACCGTGAACTTGGAGCCAAGACCGTGAACTTGGAGCCAAGACCATGGACTTGGCTCTAAGACCGCGGTCTTAGAGTGAAGACTATTGTCTTTAAGTGCTTAAGCAACTTAGAGTTAAGGGTCAACTTGTCTAAATCAATATAAGAGTATCTAGATCATATAAGGATATGGTCTAGTAATGATCTTATAAACTGCATAATTGTGTATATGTTTAAGATAAGAATGGTCATGAGACCTACTATAGTGTTCAATGCTTAAAGACCATGTTACTTCCATTATAGCACTACAATATTAGAATGACAACCCTACATATGCTATTGCAGGGTACAGTAGTGATCAATAG